TAGGCCGTGGTCCGATTTATGCTGACAACGCTCATGAGCATTATTTGTCTTCGTTCAACATTTGACAAACAACAAGGATGAAATGATTTTTAAGCGTCGTGAGCGTGAATCGGACCGCGACCTTAGTGCTACTTGTATCATTCTATCTTCATTGTTTATTAAACGTAAAACAAAGATAGATGACACAAATAGCGCTAAGAGCGCGCTCCTAGAATGCAACCTCCGACGTCAAATTTGCGGTTTCCGGCAATTCCGGCGCTCGTCGTCTCGAGAGCGGGTAACTTTGGACGCTCGGTTCTCGTTGGAGTTTTCCTCGTTTGGCCGTTTTACGGGAAAAAAGGGTGATAAAGGAACGCCGCGGACGACGACGCGAGGCGCAACCGCCTTGGGACCAGGAGAGGACTCCTCGCCCGCGGGGGGAAACCACGAAGTACACCCTGGACTCGCTCGTGGTCTGGGTTCGAGGCTCGGTGCATAAAAACGTCCGTACCCCCGCGGATTACCGGCAGTCATTGCGACACGATCACTCTATCGTGATATGCGGGGCGCCGCGTCGCCCGTCGTCACCGCCGCCGCCGTCGCCGCCGTCATCGTCGTCGTCGTCGTCGTCGTCGTCGTCGCCGCCGCCGTCGTCGCGGACCACAATTGAACGTTGCGCTGCACGCAAGCTCGGGGCAACGCCGTGCGAGGATGCCGGTGAAGGTCGACGTGGTGCCACCGCCGCCCGCGAACTCGAAGCAGCCGGGTGTCACCAAGTCCCTGCTCTATAATGGCTCACGCTTCCAAGGCTCGCAAAAGTCCAAGGGCAACAGCTACGACGTGGAGGTGGTTTTGCAGGTTAGTCGTGCACTCCCTGCCGTGCCCCCTCTCCCTGCCCCGACCGCCGTCCGCGCCGCCGTTATGTCGTCATTTTTCGGAAATTGCGCCACAAATTGGCGATCGTGATCTCGTCAAAACAGACGTAGAGGGAACGTATTCGACGACGGCGAGGATACCTGAGACAATCGTTTCTCCTCACTCTTTCTCTCCACCCTTTCTCTCTCCCTTCCTCTTTACAGCGGATGATTCGCATATTTGCGTACAATCTAAGTTGACATAAGCTGGAATAGGATTGTTTATGGTACACGTGGGGTAGGATCAGTTTGATTCTTCATATCGCGTTTGTCCCGTTGCAGCATGTGGACGAGGAAAACAGTTATCTCTGTGGATACCTGAAGATCAAAGGTCTCACGGAGGAGTTTCCAACGCTGACGACATTCTTTGACGGTGAAATCATCTCGAAAAAATATCCCTTTTTGACTCGCAAATGGGATGCTGACGAGGATGTTGACAAGAAACACTGGGTTCGTAAGCTTATCGCTCAAGCTGTTGCTCTGTATGTAGTTTATCGCAGATAGTGCGTCTGTATCTGTTTTTCTCATTCTTATTGTAGAGTAAATTTGAGTCATTCTGCCAATACGCCAAAACGTTCAATTCCGATACATTTGATTACGAGGCACTGAAAGGAACCGATTTTGTATTTATGAGGTGGAAGGAGCACTTTCTGGTACCTGATCATACGATCAAAGATATCAATGGTGCCTCCTTCGCAGGATTTTACTATATTTGCTTCCAGAAATCCGCCGCCACGATAGAAGGCTTTTATTATCATCGTAGTTCCGAATGGTAAAACGCTATATTATAAGTTAGAAAGTAGTTGTAACACTAACGATTTCTAATTTGATTTTTGGATATATGAACTGTATATAATAACCGTATTTAAGAAAAATTCATATCGCATACATATAATATGGAATGATTAAAACGATACTTTTGTGTATGTTGTTTCAGGTATCAATCCTTGAATCTGAGACATGTTCCAGAGCACAGTATACAAATTTACGAGTTCAGGTGAAGTCGATACCTTTGCTGAGAAATTTCACAATATTCGCATCTTTTCTTTTCTAGCATACAGATCTCATAAAGATTTCGTCCTATAAATCTTATTAAAAGTATCATGAGTCTGTTTATTATTCATGACACGCCCCACAGTTCTGGGGAAGATTTCCAGTGAAAAATATTCGAGATATCTCCTTAGTCAACTATATTAAAAATCGTTCAGATTATATGAAAATTGGAGTGCCTATTTAGTGAGTGATCGACTGCGGAATAATTAATTCAACATGATTGATTGTAAAACGATTTTTAGTCGAAATAAATTATCTGATGCATATCATTTTAAATAATTGGTGTTTGTTATTCAGTAGTCTGACAAAGGGTTCAAAATATTTGTTTGTGTTTATTGTCATTGTATGCATGATTCAAGTGCATTCAATATTTTAGCATTTGATTTTGATCACTGACTGAAGCATATTAAAAAGTTTGTGTGTGCATGATATTGTAAAATCGACTATTAAATTATTTTTACGAGTTTTGTAACGATGATGAAAATAATTACATTATTTTGTGAGCAAATTTTTTTTCGTTTCACGTTATTTAAAAGATTTATGAGATCTGTTTACTACATTAGAAAAGATCAAGTGTAACTGTTATTTGAATGAAGCTGTACGTATGTCTCAAGAAAAAAAGAAGAAACGGAAATGGTAATCGCGAAAGAATTATATCGAAGTTTGATCTTATTTTATGTTAAATTTATTTATTTTATGCGATTAAACTATCTGACTAATGTATTTTATACATACATATATAAAATATATGTATACCTGATTTTAAGAATAGGTATTAGACATATGTTGGCTGTTCGTAAAACTTGTCTTCATATTTTTAATCGAATGTTAATTAAATATAACGATGCCCTTAGGAAAATAGTATACTGTTGTGATAAGCATTACTATAATTATGCATATATATATATATATATACATACGATTGTATATAAGTTAACAAGCTGTAATAGAGGTAATCGTGTAGCTTATCCGAGACTTATATTGGCATACTACAGCTTTCATTTGCGTGTGACGTTTACGGAACCGTTCTCGATCACCAGTGATATTGATATTTCAAATGGCATATATTATTTTCGATATTACTTTTTATTTAGCGTTGTTAAATACTAATAATTTTGTTTTTCTTTTTATATTTGTGCTAATTAATAATTTACCTAAATACTCAAACTGATAAAACGGTCATGTACTGTTTATAATAAAAACATACCGAATCGATAAGTAACAAATTCATGTAACAAACAGTCACTTTGAATATTGGAAAACGTAGGTACATACGTATAAGAGATATATATTTAATATAATATATCAGATACCTTAAGAGGACACTGATATCGTTAATTATGTTAAGTCGACCTTTATTATAAAAAAAACTACTGTTGTCACATCCCTATTTGTAAGTTATATATTGTTGTGTTTCTTTGAGAAGAATATCTTTATATTATCAGTTATTGATATCGATATTATATATATGAACATACCGTGCAAAATGTCATCAATCTGTGAAATTTCAGTAATTTTTCAGTAATTTTTTTGCAAACTGTGTAACTTGTTGATAACGCTAACAGAATTTAATTTTTGCTTAAAAAAATATACAACAGAAAGTATGACATTTATTTGACGATAATTTACTAAAAAAATCATTTACTACAATTATTTATGAAAGGATCGTTTGAATCTTGCTTTATAAAACGTCTATGGGTTTATAAATATTCTATTTATTTTCATTATACAACCGCATGTGCTTTAAACTGAAACACAATTATAAATGAATATAAAATAAAGTCGGGTTTCGCCATTATATAAATAGAATCACTGTGTAGATGGAAATACGTCGATGTAAGTTACAATGCTCAAATTGACAAGAAAGTAGTATTACAAATTACTAAGAAGAAAATTTTGCCAATTCCAGCGATTGAATAAGAAACTATTAAAAAATCAATTAATAAACTGTAATTAAACCGTAGTTAAAAAAGCTAGAACGTGTTTACTATATACAGCAAATGTATGAAACAGGCTCTCTATTCAACAAAATTAATATTTCGCTATTAAATTAGAAGCATTTTGGCAAACGGGACGGCATTTTCCGTTCTTCCCTTTCTTAAAACGTGGCCCCTTTTGAGTGAATATTCCTTCGTACATGAAAGATGGTATTACCTTGTGTATCAACAAAATGGTATATAATTAAAACGTATGAACTCTATTTATTAAAGAAAATTTGGTATTCGAAATGAGAAGTCCGTTTTCAAATCTTTACGTATCGATTACATGCACTGCATAATACGTTAATGTGAAGTTAAGTTTATTTAGTACATCTCACAGACAAGTAAGCACATCGTGTTATATTCATATAAAACAATATAATATAGTTCTTTTTTTTATATACACAGAATATAATTTAGTTAAAGCTAACGTAATATAAATATACATCTCATGTGCTTTCCTGGCATCGAGTGATTTGTTACAGACAATGTTAAGAGATCGAGCGTGTTTCTATCTATCTATCTATCTATCTATATTACACAAACGCATCTCCTGCAATCTTACACTGTACATGTGTATGTGACTTACATTTAGGTAACATAAAATAAGACGATCCTTTTAAATAACGTATTCGGGGAAGGGAAGGTTCGGATTTCGTTAAACACGGACGAGAATAAAGATCGTATCGCTTTGCGCGATTTATAATTATCGTATTATCGGAGGGGGGGGGAAGAGATAACAAGATAAAAAATGAGGAAATCATTCGATCTCGCTCGATCAACATAATGCAATGGTAAAAAGTTGTGCCGTAGAAAGAGTCAATTTTATTGCTCTTTATAAAACCGTCTTCTTAAAAAATATATAGCTCTTCCGCGCTCGGTAACCGGTAGTTTCCGATAAAACGGTTTTCGCGTCGTAAGCAAGTGAAAATATATATATATATATTTATATATGTTGCTTAATGTATCTCGAATTAGCTGCTCTAAACTTTCTACACTTATGCTATCATCATTAGTCTACACCACAACCACTGTAGACTTAGCGAACTTGTACTTTTCAATTCATTACTCGCTGCTCCTGTAAGTTTATGATCAAAGAAAGAACATTTCGCACAGAGAGATACGTTTGTGGAAAGGGATGCTTTTCCAACAACGGCCAAAATAAACAAAGCGGCTTACAAAGGCTTTAAAGTATGGGCACACTCGCGAGTCGCATAATGTCGCGTGATATATCGCATGGATATTTTATAAATCCTCGTAATTCTGACACGTTCTCTTTATGCGATGAAAACTCATGCGAGCTTTGCAATCGAGAACACTCGGTAACGTTTAAGCGATTTCTTTGCTTACGTGCCGCGACTCTCTTAATTTCGTACAACAGATGATGGCACGGATACACGACAGCTCGTCTCCCTTAAGCTCGTTAATAATCGTTCGGATGATGAAACTGTGCGCGGCTTGCGGATGTGTGAAAATATATATATGAAATGTATCTCATGATATAAACGTAACAAGTATATCCCGTCAACGTTGGCAAGTGACAAATTGGAATTTCATATATTTATACTATTTCATACTAACAGTAATTACTATGAATTGTGAAACAACATTGTAAACGCGTTTGCATCCTCGATAAAACGGAGAGGGAGAGGGGAAGGAAGAACGCTGATTGCTGCGCGATGTTTTTGTAAGTAACCGCTACCCTGACTTCTGTCCTTTGTCACTCTCAAGACACTGTGCAGGAATTGCGACCGACGCAACTTGTGCGGGAATCGGTGATGCTGCCGGGTGAGCTGCCGGGCGTCGACAGTCCGCCGTTATTGTGACCCACCCCGACGAAGCGTAACTTCCGATGATGTGATCCCAGACTCTTGCTCGAGCTCAATGAGCGATTGCCATTGTAGCGTAGTTGGGACGTGGTCGTCATCGCGTACGATTTCAAGTGCGATTTGATTGACTTGGGCAACGGCAGTTGGTCGATACCGTAAACTGTTGTTCGGGCCACTATCGCACGGCACGCCAGTTCTTGCAGGCTGAGCACTGCATAGTAAATTGTCTCATTATTCTGATTCCTAGATTTTAGGTATTCATATTTAATACTAGTTTTTACATTAAAAACTGTCTTAAATAATCTTAAGATGTCATAAGCAAATCACAAATCTGGATTAGCATCTAAGGTTTCAAAATAGACTGACTGAATACTGATCTTAGAATCTCTGATAGAAATCACTAATCGATACCTTTATTGGATCGCCATAATCTTTCCATGCCATTTCTATGTAATGCCATCCGAGAAAGCTCTGAAAAGCTCTCACGGATGTTGAAATCGCAGAGAGGTGAGACTTCAAAGAAGGCCATTCGATTCTTAGCCGCGTAAGCCTCTGCATCTCGTTCACCCACTTGTCTTTTGAAAGCCAAGTGCAAACGATTGCCAACCAGCACTTTCGGTACGCCAGGCGCATGCTATAAAGTTTTATGTTACGATACATTTTGTAATACTGTCAGAAGGCTGGACTGATAATCAGATAAAATCTTAATTCGTTAAATAAAATCTGACCTCTTCAACTTCTTTCAGCCACCTATCAATGCCATCAAAAGACCACTTGTTGGTAATGTCATATACCAAAAGTATACCTTGAGCACCTCTGGAGTATGACCGAATAATTGTGCAGAATCTACCTTGGCCTGATGTATCCCATAATTGTAACTTCACTCGTTTTCCATCTAGTAGAATAGTGGTAGTCTTGTAAGCTGAAAAAATAATAAACAGTCAGGTCTAATGTTTATTTCTACCAATATAAGTTAACTGTAATCTTGATTTTATTTACTTTTTATCTTTTTCTAGTTCAAAGAATAAAGAGAAGAAATAAAGGGTTAATCAGAATTAAAATTAATTTACACTGGTAGAAATGAACCCAAGTCTTAAATGATTTTGAAAAAAAAAGAATTATAGAGAAGTACTACTGTTGTTTGATTATAAGTTCCATGGTATCACAGTTAATTTTTTCTTTTTTTCTCGGACATGAAAAAAGGAAAAGCTGAACCATGCAAGAAGTTGAGCTAAAGAGAATAAGTCTAATGTTTTGTTACATGTATTGAGAAAACCTAAGGAAAGTTTTATGATATTAAGAGAATGAAAAGTCTTACCGCTGCCGCTGCAGAACGGCGACTCGGCGGCACCATCCTCGAGACCGCTCAAGATCTCTTGCTTGCCGACGTCGCTGTCTCCCACAAGCAGGAACTTGAGCAGGTAGTCGTACTGCTTCTCCTGACGAGGCTTCGCCGTGCTGGCCTCACCCGCAGCCATAATATCCGCCTGTCGCAGATCCTGAGCATACTGCAGGCGACCCACGGGGCGACCAAGCTCGCCCTGCCGCTGTCACACTTCCCCCCGTGTTCGCGGCACGTGGACGGATCCTCCTTTACCACCACCGCCGCCGCCACTTCGACGGCGACCTCGTCGGGTACTTGGCCGGTGAAAGCTATCGCATCGTACCGCGGTGCACAGATACGTCGCGTCGATTCTCTCATGGATCTCGTCACGACGATCCCGGCCACCCTCTTTACACGACCGGGACACGGATCCCGAGATTCCCGAATATCCCGACAACGCGAACGTGTATCATAACAAAGCAAACAGGACTGACAGAGTTTTCTCGTCGACGCACTTTCCTCGCTGTTGTCGCACTTGTCTCCTACCTGCACGAACTGCACCGCACCAACCACACTAATCCCTCGCCTCCACTCGCCTCGCGTGACACTGCGCAACAAAGTTGCGCACTGTCGCGAAATCCTCGAAGGTCGAGTGCGTTCATGATTCGTGACTCGCGAGTATGGCTGCGTTCAGCAGAACGTTTGTTTTGCAACTGTTGGAAGTTTCCTTCGCGCTAATTGGATCATACTTTTAGATCTAGAAGAATGGTCCTATCTCAGCAGACAATCATAAAACGGTTGCAAAACTGTTGAGTCTGCTGAACGCAGCCAATCATTTCAAGTGGTGTCCTCTGAAGGAATATAAAAAAATCACTCTAAGAAGAGTAAACATGAAAATTACATATTAAAAATATACAAAAAATGCAAAAAACGAAAAATTATTCGCAATATAGTGTAGCTCCACAGTATATACAGTAGCGCAACTCTCTGTCGGCACCTTTGATGATAGCGTGTATGAAATCGAACTGCACATGCGCGAGCTAAGTAGGTAACCAATCATAAGCCTGCTCTTTGTTGCTACACTGAACTGCACTAAAATGTTCTATCATGCTTTCACCAATTCCAAATATATATCTATTTCATTTTAAGTACAATACTAGCTCAGTTACAAAAGAACCTTATATCACTGAGTTTCTATTTTACATTATAGCTCTTTTATCATTTCTTCTCTTTTCTTAACTTGTTATTTATATATATTAGTCATTACATTTAATATATAAATTAAATTAGAAAATAAATAAGTAGCTAACCACACAATATAGAATCTGTATTGATCAATAAGAAATATAAAATTGAGAAAATACTAAAGAGAAATATACATATAATTATAGAAATATTATTTACTGAAAAGGAAATATATTTATTACATACATATATACATTTATACATTTTTAGTAAAAATGTTAAGAGTGAAGTAAGGGACAAATAGTATGTAAAATCAATATATTTATTCAAATATTGCATTAAAATAAAAAACATAATAAGTATGTACTTCTTAAATCTATAAATCTAAAAAAAATTAGAAAAAACAAATATTAATAAAATTAATAAATCAAAATCAAAATATATTTATGTACAATAATAAAAATATTTTTGTATGGTAAGAGAATTTATTTTAAGAACATTTACAAATATGCATACAATATATATGTATACGTACAATTATGACTGTGCTAAATATAATGTTAAATATACTTTTAAATTAAGAAAAAATATTAAAGCATAAATGAAATTTTTAATCCTGTTGAAAGAAATTTTTACATTGATATAATATTTTTAGGGCCTGCGCACGACAAAGGAACGAAAATTAGATATTAAGATTTCAACCTATCAGAAACCGTGTATTCCGATGTAATCAGTTTCTGATAGGTTAAAATCTTAATATCTAATTCCTGTTTCTCTATTGTGCTCAGGCCCTTACATACATTTAATATACATATAATATTTTTAATATCTCATAATAATTTTAAGAATTTTTAATATTTTAAATTTATAAAAATGTGTTTTTTTTTAAAGTACTTTTATTTTGTTTAAATTTTAGTCTTCTTCGGAAATAAAATTTACAAGAAATTCATAGAAATTGTACAATTATATTAAAATCAATTTTAAATTATATGAAAAAATGTACAAAAAAATTTTTTATCAAGAAAATAGTATTTCAATCCTATTTATAATAATCTTAAGTTCTAATAAAAGAAATAATAATAATAAAAATCTAATAATAAAAACTTTCTATTCTAAATTTTACATGTAATTTAAACTTTTGGCCCGTAACGCAGATGTATCTAATCACACAACTTTTCCAGTAGGGAATGTTCCATCTTTTTTGTAGTTTTCCATTCATCTAATTCGTCTAATTTCTGGCCTCTACATTGCATTGTCCCCATCTTGAAACAGAATATTGTATAAGATATATAAAAGTTAAAAAACCTGTTCGTTTCTTCTTGTTGAATCTTGTCCTAATCTTTTTCAGTTATATTTTCTTCTTGAAATGATGTTACAGGTGTATTGCTGTAAAAATTGTAATATTAATTTATACATGATAAATTTACTATTTAAGAAAAACTATGTTATTCAGAGTAGAAAATGCTTTATAAAAAATTTATTATTTACTTTCTTCCAAAAAATATTGTTGGAACAGCATTAGGAAGAAGACTGGCTCTACATTTGCCTATTTTGTACCACTTTTCTTCAAAATGCAAGTGGCACAGTCGATAGTTGCGATGAGCGTATTCTGGGCCCATCACTTGTAAATCAAATCTTCCAGATGCGTGTATCCACTGCAACCATCTATAAATTTAACAGAAATAGTTAATATAAAATATTGTTTTTTTATACATACATTTTATACATACATTTTATACATATGTACATATATATAAAAGAATATTAAAAAATTAAAAGTACACACATACATATTGTAATATAAAATTATAAATATTTAAAATAATAACTGATTTATACATGCTTTAAAAAATAATTAAAATAAATGTATACCTATCACATTCCTTTGGAAACATAAAGAAGTGTCTTTTCTCTGTAACATTGTAATTGCACTCCTTCATTACACACCATAAATTTGATTTATGGGTCGACATCCTTTTTCCTTGATTTTTCTGTATCTTCTAAGAAGCAGCACCTGCAACAAAGCTAAGATCAAATGTGTTTACTGGCAGAGAATTGAAAATCTGTATATCCTTATACAAATTAACTATTCTCCGAAGTGAACATAACCTTCGTTTTCGACACCGTCAATATTAATTTTCACTTTTTCCACTTCTTTCACTGAACACTTTACACGTTACTATTCACCAAACACTTTACACGTTTTATATTAACACGGCTTCGATTGTTCAATGCTCACTCCAATTTGCTCCGATTTCACTACTGCGTTTTATATGAATTTTATGGTTTATATGGACATTTAAATGTGACCGAGAGAATTATAGAAAACTAGAGAGAGGAAGTGTGATAGAGGATCAGTTACGTGATTGGTTACCTACTTAGCTCGCGCATGTGCAATTCGATTTTGTACACGCTAGAATTGGGAGAGTTGCGCTACTGTATATACTGTGGTTCTAGTCTTCTTGAGTATAAAGCTCTACTAGCGATAAACCCGGATCGTCATACGGGCTAATGGTTCCTGCACACTGGACGCGGAAATGCTTGCCGCGCGGCAAAATGTAATACGGTAGCCAATAAGCTTACAGCTTCTAACATGTTCATTGGTTACCGCGTCGCATTTTGTTGCGCGGTAAGCTTTTTCGCGTCCAGTGTGCAGGAGCCATAACTTCAATCTCCGATCAAAGTTGCAGCGTGTTATCCACGGTTATTACTGAAAACACGATGCATTCGTTTCATTTGACGATCGCAAGGGCATCCGGGCGAATTGAAAATATGGAAACGTGCCCGATAACGGCGCGATTCGCGAATACAACGAATTAATTAATGTAGATGGCACTGAAATCATTCAAATTGATCCCTTGATAAAGCATTTGTTTTATGAAATGATAAGGCATTTTTATTCTTTAGCTTGCATTGAGGAGCTACCACAGTATATACAGTAGCGCAACTCTCCCAATTCTAGCGTGTACAAAATCGAATTGCACATGCGCGAGCTAAGTAGGTAACCAATCACGTAACTGATCCTCTATCACACTTCCTCTCTCTAGTTTTCTATAATTCTCTCGGTCACATTTAAATGTCCATATAAACCATAAAATTCATATAAAACGCAGTAGTGAAATCGGAGCAAATTGGAGTGAGCATTGAACAATCGAAGTCGTGTTAATATAAAACGTGTAAAGTGTTCGGTGAATAGTAACGTGTAAAGTGTTCAGTGAAAGAAGTGGAAAAAGTGAAAATTAATATTGACGGTGTCGAAAACGAAGGTTATGTTCACTTCGGAGAATAGTTAATTTGTATAAGGATATACAGATTTTCAATTCTCTGCCAGTAAACACATTTGATCTTAGCTTTGTTGCAGGTGCTGCTTCTTAGAAGATACAGAAAAATCAAGGAAAAAGGATGTCGACCCATAAATCAAATTTATGGTGTGTAATGAAGGAGTGCAATTACAATGTTACAGAGAAAAGACACTTCTTTATGTTTCCAAAGGAATGTGATAGGTATACATTTATTTTAATTATTTTTTAAAGCATGTATAAATCAGTTATTATTTTAAATATTTATAATTTTATATTACAATATGTATGTGTGTACTTTTAATTTTTTAATATTCTTTTATATATATGTACATATGTATAAAATGTATGTATAAAATGTATGTATAAAAAAACAATATTTTATATTAACTATTTCTGTTAAATTTATAGATGGTTGCAGTGGATACACGCATCTGGAAGATTTGATTTACAAGTGATGGGCCCAGAATACGCTCATCGCAACTATCGACTGTGCCACTTGCATTTTGAAGAAAAGTGGTACAAAATAGGCAAATGTAGAGCCAGTCTTCTTCCTAATGCTGTTCCAACAATATTTTTTGGAAGAAAGTAAATAATAAATTTTTTATAAAGCATTTTCTACTCTGAATAACATAGTTTTTCTTAAATAGTAAATTTATCATGTATAAATTAATATTACAATTTTTACAGCAATACACCTGTAACATCATTTCAAGAAGAAAATATAACTGAAAAAGATCAGGACAAGATTCAACAAGAAGAAACGA